TTTGGTTTTCTTCACTCTTCTTTACTCTGGATAGGAGAGACCCACTGTTGCATCTAGATGGCCACTTGCTAGCTTTTAAGATCCCAGTCACTACTTGCCACGGTAGGATATGGAACAATATTTTTTGTGTAGTGTGTTATGCCAGTTGAGCTTGATGTCCCCTGCAACCATGGTCCCAAGCCCACAGTTCCAAGCACTTGCTTCCTCTGGGTAACTGGCTGTGGCCAAGAAGTGACTACAACCTTGTCCCTTGTGGACAGGGCATTTTTAGGGCAGTGAGACCATTCTGTATGATACTGTGGTGGTGGACACATGACATTATGCATTTGTCAAAACCCATAGGGCTGTACAACACAGAGAGTGAACCTTAATGTAAGCTGTGGACTTTAATGAATGATACTGTATCACTGTTGGTCTATCAACTGTCACAAATGGACCACAGGAATGCAAGTTGTTAATAACAGGAGAAATGATATGGAGGAGGGGAGGATATATGAGTTTCTATAAACCTGAAACAGTGCTAAACGTCTGTTAAAATTTTATTTCAATAAGAAATCATTCATCAGGGTCCTAAGAATTACATCTATTTGAACTCAAGAGGTATACAAGTCGGATAAAAAAAGAGGTCTGTGTTTCTCTCTGAAGATGTGTGAGTGTGAAGTTAGTTGTGTGGGGCGGGCAATTCTAGACTATTTACTGCAAGTTGCTGAACTGTTTAATGTGAGAGAGCTCTAAAGAACAAATGAAAAATTATAGGAGAATCACCAGAAAGGCACACACTCTTTAGAACAATCAACCATTTGAGATCAAAGGGCAGCATGTGCCCAAGGATAAAACTCAGACGGTGGGAAGGGTTAGGAGAGAAGGAGGAGCAGAAATGAGAAACACAGGGAGGAAGTGGGAGGAGTGACGTTACGTTGAGGGGACTGGAGTCAATGAGAGGAGACAAAATGTGTGTGAATTGTTGAATGGAGAACTGATTTGCTCTGTAAACTTTTACCCAAATCCTAATAAAAAGTATTTTTTTTTTTTTAAAGATTCAACCATTTTCTCTCAAATAATAATAATAAAAAGATAGGACATCAGGCGCGTGGCAGGTAAGGATGCTAGCCAAAAGGGGGAAAAATGTTGGAGCTCCAAATAACTGACTCTGTTTCTCTAGGATCTCAGCTTTTGGCTGATGTTTAAAATTGACGGTTCTACCCACATGACTACAACTCAACATCATGTAACGTGAGGAGAGCCTCACGCTGAACTACCAAACGGTTTATGTCAGTTAAGATTCTTGCTGACTCAAACACCTTCTTTTCTCCTCCACCACACTGACATTCTCTTGGGAAATTTCCCAAAGATGAGCCATCCACAGGCACTAACTTGTTGTTGCTGTTGTTGTTATGTGCCACTGAGTCGGACCGACTCATAGCAACCCCTCCTTGGGTTTCCGAGGCTGTCAATCTTCACAGAAGCAAAGCCCAAACCACACCCACTGGAAGCAAAGCCCAAACCAAATTCACTGCCATTGACTTGACTTGACTCATAGCGACCCCTCCTTGGGTTTCCGAGGCTGTCAATCTTCACAGAAGCAAAGCCCAAACCACACCCACTGGAAGCAAAGCCCAAACCAAATTCACTGCCATTGACTTGACTTGACTCATAGCGACCCCTCCTTGGGTTTCCGAGGCAGTATCACTACGGAAGTAAATTGCCCAATCTTCCTTCTGAGGAGTGGCCGGTGGGTTTGAACCACCAGCCTTCTGGTTAGCAGTCAAATGCCTCAGGCACTATGCTACCAGAGCTCCCAGGCACTAACTTGGCAGTAGGGAATTCCTGACCGTAATGTAGGACAGCGACTGTTGTCTACCTGACGAGTTTAAGAGGACAGTCTCACAGGAGGAGCCCATGGAGTTATATGCACAGCATTGCACCAGGAAACCCTTCACTGCCTCGCTGATGTTGAGGGTACTACTTGATATCCACTGTCCAAACACTTTTCGGTGAGCCTTTCTATTCCAAACGCCTTCTGTGATTTCTTCCGTGCAGCTGAAAAGACACAACAGACAGAGATGTTAGCTAGGTGGGCTGACACCAGCGTGGAAGCTAGGGTTTCTACAGCGACCTCTATGAAGAGACTTCTCGATCATAAACCTTCAGAGACAATCTACGGCCACTGAGAAGGAGGGTGGGTTCAGAAGATAATGACTTTAAACGTTTCATTATTTCTCCATTAACTGTGCTCGTGACAGAGTCACTATGTCAGGGACGATGTGCATCTTACGACCTTCCATTACAAGAGAAGTCAACGTTCTATTACTTGAGAGACTGGTCTGAGCACTTCGTCCAGGTCCAGGTTGGCAATGGGTATCCGTCAGACGAACAGGAAGCCTGACTCACTGAGGCCTCTGCCAGCACTTGGGGTTTCCCTGCAGAGAAGAACACGTGAACAAAGCTCATGTAAGATGAACAAACAGCCACAAAGCTCTGACATGTGCTGCAACATACATGATGCTTGACGGTGTGATACTGCATGAAATGAGTCAGACACAAAGGAACACATTTTGTATGATCCCACTAATATGAAATACAGTGAGGCCCCGACTTGGGACACATTTGAGTTACTATAAACCACACTTGCAACCACCCTTTTTATTTTTTAAACATCGTGGCATAGTGCCTAAGGCATCTGACTGCTAACCAGAAGGCTGGTGGTTCAAACCGATCAGCCACTCCTCGGAAGGAAGCTTGGGCAATCTACTTCCATGGTGATACCGCCTCAGAAACCCAAGGCGGGGTCTCTGTGAATCAGCTCAAGTCAATGGCAGGGGGTGTGGTTTGGGCTTTGCTTCTGTGAAGATTGACAGCCTTGGAAACCCTGTGGGGCAGTTCCACTCTGTCCTCTAGGGGCGCTGTGAGTCAGAATCGACTCCACAGCAGTGGGTGTGGTTTGGGCTTTGCTTCTGTGAAGATTGACAGCCTTGGAAACCCTGTGGGGCAGTTCCACTCTGTCCTCTAGGGGCGCTGTGGGTCAGAATCGACTCCACAGCAGTGGGTGTGGTTTGGGCTTTGCTTCTGTGAAGACTGACAGCCTTGGAAACCCTGTGGGGCAGTTCCACTCTGTCCTCTAGGGGCGCTGTGGGTCAGAATCGACTCCACAGCAGTGGGTGTGGTTTGGGCTTTGCTTCTGTGAAGACTGACAGCCTTGGAAACCCTGTGGGGCAGTTCCACTCTGTCCTCTAGGGGCGCTATGGGTCAGAATCGACTCCACGTCAGTGGATTCTTTTATTATGTGAATGAGGTCATATCAGGGTAGGGTATGTATTAAATTGATCACCTTTGACCAACCAAGACAATTAGGCAGAGAGTAGGAAGCAGAGGTGGGAGAAGACACATGCCAAGACACATAAAGATCACCCAGGAGTAGCAGCTCAGAAGAGATAAGGACCTGCCTCTAGAGCTCTGGTGGTGTAGTGCCTAAGGCACTTGACTGCTAACCAGAAGGCTGGCGGTTCAAACCCACCAGCCACTCCTCGTAAGGACAGTTGGACAATTTACTTCCGTAGTGATACCAACTCGGAAACCTAAGGAGAGGCCGCTATGAGTCAGATCCAACTTGATGGTAATGAGTTTAGCCCAGCAATTCCACTATTGGGTATATACCTAAAAGAACTGAAAACAAGTATCCAAACGAAAACTTACATGTGAATATTCATGGCAGCCCTATTCACAACAGCCCGAAAGTGAAAACAACCCAAATATTCATCAACTGATGAATAAAAAACTCAAAAAACCCCCAAAAAACCCAAACTCACTGCCACCGAGTCAATTCTGACTCATGGTGACCCCTCCTTGGTTTCCGGGGCAGTATCTCTATGGAGGTGGATTGCCCATCTTCCTTCCGAGGAGTGCCTGGTGGGTTTGAACCACCAGCCTTCTGGTTAGCAGTCAAACGCCTTAGGCACTATACCACCAGAGCTCCCCAACTGATGAATGGATAAATTAAATGTGTTATATCCATATGAATGGAATATTATTTGGCCAAAAAAAAAAAGGAATGAAGGACTAATACATACTACAGCATGGATGAACCTTGAAAACATTATCAGGGAACTCAGTTCCGGCAAGATGGCGGACTAGGCAGAAGGATTGCACAGACCCTCTTCAACAAAGAAAAGGGAAACCAATTAACACAGACACAGAA